CTTTTTCGTCACTGCCCGTGTATACAAAGAATATATCATCGATATATCTTGCATAGAATATGCAATCGCTACAAATGAGGGGATAGATATGGGTCTCCTCAAATTTTCCCATAAATATTGTAGCATATGATGGAGCTGCAATGGTGCCCATGGCACAGCCTCTTACTTGTAGGAAGTGTGCTTCATTGAAGTTGAAAGTATCCAATGTAAGAATATGCTCCATGAGTTTTATAACTACTGTGGGGGAGGACTTGTTTTATTATTTTAGTAAGTGCTTCCTTATGGGTGCTTCCTTATGGGTGGTTAGTCCTTGGATGTGTTTAATGTTTGAATAAAATGATCTTACGTCCATAATCACTAGAATAGCATTCTCTGACACTGTTTGTATGTGATTAATTTTGTTTAGTAAATCTGTTGAGACTCTGATGTAGGATTTTACTTCCTTAGCTATAGGCGGTATGTAATGGTCTACGGATTTGGAAATTTTGGTCGTGTGGCAGTTGAATGATGAAATGACCGGCCTTCCTGGGTTGTTGCTTTTGCGTATTTTGGGAAGGAGATGGAAGCGAGCAGGTGTGATGTTTGTGGGTGTAAGTGTTGTGCATGTTTCCTTGTCGATTAGATTTTTGCGAAACATCTTGTTTAGTGAGCTAGTTAATTCTTTTTGGTATTCTGGAAGAGGGTCTGTGGGTAAGCTTTTGTAGGTTTCTTTTTGTCGGCTAGCCTCTTTAATGTATTCTTTGATTCCACAGATCCCTGTGGAACCCCGCCTTTTCAGCCTGTGTTATGATTATGATATATATATATATATATATATATATATATATATATATATATAACATCTATATATTGTTTTCATATATATATATATATATATTTATATATATATATATATATAGCATTTATATATTGCTTTCATTTATATATATATATATATATATATATATATATATATATATATTCATTTATATATATATATATATATATATATATATATATATATATATATATATATATTATATAACGTTTTCACACGATCGTATCAGATGCCGGCCATTAATATTTTACACCATTTACTCTATTATGCTTACCTGCGCAGAGATAAAAAGGTTTTGTTTGACGTTTTGTTGAGATACAAATGGAGTTTTTATTGCATTTTACTGTCCGCGTCCACACCGCAGCCTTAAGCCTATATTATTACCTGTCACACTTGCTTTGCTTCATCCTGGCGCGGAGGAATTTCTTTGCCGCGATAGGCTTCAACGTGCTTTCAGTGAAAATCTAAATACTGCAGCCTGTCTGTCAACTGTAGCTAGCTCGATTTCGCTGCTAACGGTCGGAGTTAGAATCCAGCTAAAACCGAACTTATTACATAGCTTCCCTATTCCCCCCCCCCACCCCCAAAAAGGTCACCGTGTTTATTATGGGCTTTTCTTTCTTAGTTACGTTTCTTATAATCTAGCCATAAAGATTACTTGAGTATCTGTATCTCGATTTTCTAATTATCCAATTATCCGGATGGGAAATGAAGAGAAACATTTTGAATAATCCGAATACTTTCAGTTATCCGGACTATACCAAATTTAATGTTTTATCTCAAAAAATCGTTTTAAAAATTTAGAAAACCAAATTCAACTTTTGATGAAACGCTGATAAAACAATAAGCTAAAACTTAAAGGAGAAGTTTACTCTGTCACCTGTAATAATTGTCAATACATAGGAGAAGCCTCAAGGAATCTAAATAAAAGATTATATGAACACAAAAGGGACAATTTACAAAACAATACGTCAAATGCGTTAGTTGCACACTGAGACTGACCACAATTTTAACATAGAAAATCCTACTTTGATCAAAGGAGAAAACCATGTAAATGTTTAGAGGGTGCCTTGATCGCGAGGTTATCTACAGTAAATTTGCGCCCTGGCTTTTAGAATTCACCATTCCTGGCAGATCTTCTATTACCAAAGTGTGAGATATCTACTAACAAAATTGATGGAAATAACAATAAAAAGACTCTAAAAGAATTCGGAAAGATATTTAAAAAAATTCTAAAAATATCCTAAAATTCCCACTACCCCTCGTTCTTGCGCATGTGTAGTCGTACCAACATAACAAGACTTATGTGTGTATGCTTGTGTAAAAATCCAGATATAACCAAAAATATACCTGTAACAACATTGCCACACTTACTTTAAAAGAGAAAGTAACTTGCTTAAACGGAAGATTTTTGAGAATGCAGCTATCGAATCTTACCAAAATATAAATCTGCGCACGGTATTATTTAAAAGAAATGCACTTTTCCCAAACCAACAAACATGATTATAACAAAATTAAAAATGAGAAGAAAACGTTTAAAAAACATTATTTAAAATATATAATACATAAATTAAGTTTTCAAACTAAAATAATATAATTAATAATTACATTATAATATTAATAAAAATTCAATAACAACCTTTCATTTATTAGACATTAAATTACTTCACCTTATAGAATCGTCAATGTTTGTCTACTCACCCCGTTAAAAATAGACTCTTCTATAAGAATTAGCTTTGACCAATTAACACCACACATTGTGAAACTCGGCTTGTTATTGGTCGAGACGACCCTAGAATGTGTATCCATGGTCAAAAATCTGTTTTCCTGCCAGGCCACTGGGAGCCTACTTTGGTTTCCCAAATCAAATAAAAGGACGAATTTCAGTCCAATTCACCAGTCAGATCTACATTCCTAGAGAGATACCAGACTGACCTACGCAAGTCAAAACTCTGACCAACCAGGACTTTGCCGTGCAAAATATCTGACTCAACAATCCACAAACACACTCTATCTCTCTCAAGAACATCACTTACAATACTTTGAAAAGTGACATTTTCTTCTCACTACTTAATAAGTATTAGTAAACAATCAAATTCTCACACAACTAAAGGTACGCAACTCCTGCCAATTATACAAACATACTTACACACACACACTAATAACTGAACTAGCACAAAGGACAATTTAGTACGTAACTGGACACTTAGTTTAATTCTGTGAACAAATCTGAATAGCAATTGAAAACACCTTGAAACATTCACAATAATATTCTACACAGCCAAACACACCTATTTTCATTTGTCCATTTAAGTTCAAATCAATTTTATTCTCAAAATTGTATATTTGTACATAAATGCATTTTGTTCTATTGAAATCTGATAATCACTGTTTTTTACTCACTTGCCTGTTGATCGATTCAATTTTTTTTATGAATGTCTATCTATATTGTTGCGGATAAATATTTTGAACATGCCCGTAAACTAACCATCTAAAAATAAAAATCTTCTGATACCAAATACAAACCCATAGCAATCCCAACAACCTAGCACCCTCCGTAATTTACCTTGACTTCCGGTTAGCGTGATGTCTATTTACGAGCGTTTCTTAAATTTATAAATTCTGAAAAACTAATGATATTTTTTTTTTACTTTTCTTTATAAATACTTGTTGCGAAATAAAATCCTTACATAAAGACCATCAGAGGACGAAACGGTCGAGTAAAAAAAGTTTTCCTTCTCTCCTTATCCATATCTATCTATCTATTTATCCATCTATCTTTCTATCAGTCAGTCTCAGTATGTTCATGTCTATCTACTTAACTATCACGGTCTGTTTATATCTATCTATTTTGGTCTATTCAGAACTATCTATCTATCCCTGTCTATTCAAAACTACCTATATATCTCGGTCTATTCAGATCTCTCTCTCTCTCTCTCTCTATATATATATATATATATATATATATATATATCAGGTTATTCAGATCTATCTTTGTCCCTCGGCCACCTCTCCTCTTCTGATATATATATATATATATGTGTGTGTGTGTGTGTGTGTGTGTGTGTGTGTGTGTGTGTGTGTGTGTGTGTGTGTGTGTGTGTGTGTGTGTGAATAAAAAAAAAAGAACAGTAAGATATGTAATCCGGTGTTCTTGTAGATATTTTTATTTTTACAAAATAGTGCTCAATGTAAATTTACAGAGCATTAATATTATAAATTAACTGATTTAAAATATGTTTTTTTCCGCTACACAGTTCTAACCATGTTTCAAAATGGGAGCTAATATCTTCGAATTTAATTTTGTAATCAAATTAAAGACATTAGTTCCATTTCATCCTCAAGCGAATTTATATATACATATATATATATATATATATATAATTATTATTATTATTATTATTATTATTATTAATAATAATAATAATAATAATAATAATATTATATTAAATATTACTATTATTTATACTTTCGGTGTATAGGACGCAAGCAGATTTTGACATCAAACTTTTGGGTTAAAAAGTATATTTGACAGCAAAAATACGACACACTAAAATGAGCTAAAATAACGTAAGATTAAATCTTTTCCCAAAAGACTGAATTAAGATATAATAACAAAATGTTAACACATTCAGAAGAATGATTCACTTCGCATGGAAAAGAATATGTCCACCTTTGATTAACATTAAAGTGAAAAATTCCTATTAAAAAGCGATAAAATGATACGTAATCACTGATAGACCGTCGAATATTAATATATCAATTTACCAAAAATGGTAAGTTTAAAAAAAAAAAAAAAAAAAAAGCCTTACTGAACACGATACCATTGACTAGATTGACTCACCCGAAATCTGCGAAAGAATTTTGTCCAATATTTGGCAGGGTTGGGCTTGTATCGGGGGCCTCAGCCAAAACTTATTTACAGATCGAGCGAGACAGCTTTGGAGCTGCTGGCCTTGTTGACAAAACGGCAAAGGCAGCATTGTATAACCAATTTATTTATCTCTTAGCTGGGTTGTATTCATTCGGGCTGGCGATCTATGAGCATCATCAAAGTATCCTTCACTAAACAGGATGGTCCAATTACGCTATCAACTAAGACTTAGGCACGACGAGTTGACGACTTCCTGTTTCGCAGTGAAACGCATCGGATATGATATCCCTGTATTAGGCCTTATTATGACTACCATGTGTCGAACGACTTCCGGCCAGATCGAAAGAGAGAGAGAGAGATGTAATTAGACACTGAATCTGTGGATACTAGAGAATGGTTTGTACGTATGCTCGGGAGAGAGAGAGAGAGTGAGAGAGAGAGAGAGGGTGGACGTAAAACGAAGAAAAGAAGAAAGGAAAGAAAAAAGTACAGATGAGACTGTGTAAGAAAAAGAATACACACCAGAAAAAATGTAATTGAATTATTTATTTAATTCTTCTTTCTTTTTATGTGCCGTGTCCTTTCAGGACGTAGGCGATCATGGCTCTCCACTTTCTCCTATTCCTTGTAGCTCTCAGTAAGTTTCGTCCCTCTGTCATCTCCCCCAGACCACGTTCTGCTATCCACTTGCTTAAGCCTGCCATGTATGTCATGCGTTGCTTTTTCTTGTCTTTTTTCTCTCTATTCGACCTGTGAGTATCAGATTCTCCAGGCCCTACTTTCTCATTACTTGTCCCAGAAATTTCATCCGCCACTTCTTTAAGTATAAGCTTCCTCCTGGTTTGAATCCTCTCCAAAAACTCATCGTTGCTCACACGCTAGATCCATGATATCCTTAGCATCCTTCTGTAGCACCACATCACCACCGCCTCGAGTGTCTTCTTTATTTTTTAGGAGACCATCCAATATTCGCTGCCGTAAAGGAGGACAGATGTCACATAGCAGCTCAGTACTCAGTACTTGTCACCAAAGAAATCCTCCTGTCTCGTAATATGCTACCCAGCTTTTGTAATGCATCCTTGGCCATCGCAGTCCGTCTTCGGATCTCAGCGTCGCACCTACCGTCCTTCGTCAAAACACTTCCCAGATATTTAAACTTCCGCACATGCTTGATTTTAGTGTTCCTGACCTTCAAATTACATTTCGGGGCTCATATTTTTCCTGGTGACCATGCATACAATACATTTAATACTAAACCCAATTAAATTTGTGAACTCATTGAGACTCGAACCCACTACCCAATAAGTCTGACCGGCAAAACACTTTATTAACCACAACCTAATGATTACGCGACCTCAATGGACCTCAACTCAGTGACAAATGGAGAAAGAAAAAGTTACATGTGAAATGTACATGTAGTTATGGATTTTTCTGAGTGTACGTCTGTTTTGCACTATTGCATGTGTATGTGTATGTGTATTCACCTCTGTGTGTGTGTGTGTGTTTGTTTGTGTGTGTGTGTGTGTGTGTGTGTGTGTGTGTGTGTGTGTGTGTGTGTACATGTGTCGATTTCATCATTTCTGCGTATGTACTGGGTCAGATCGAAAATTACCGGAGACTAGTGATATAAAAAGAATGCTACAACACTGTTACATAGGAATAAAGTGTCGCTGCCGACACTTGAGTTTGAACATAGATCGCCAGTGAACAAACACAGGCGATCCCATTATTGAATTAACTAGCCAACATGACCATAGAGGAAACGAATATATGTAGGGAGTAGCTGACGAATAACGATCTCCATTTCTATTCTATCATCTGTTACTATTCGGATAGCCATTTCTATTCTATCCTCTATTACTATTTGGATCGCCATTTCTATTCTATCCTCTATTACTATTCGAATCGCCATTTCTATTCTATATTCTGTTACTATTCGGATCGCCATTTCTATTCTATCCTCTATTACTATTCGGATCTCCATTTCTATTCTATCCTCTATTACTATTCGGATCGCCATTTCTATTCTATATTCTATTACTATTCGGATCGCCATTTCTATTCTATCCTCTATTACTATTCGGATCTCCATTTCTATTCTATCCTCTATTACTATTTGGATCACCATTTCTATTCGATCTTTTATTACTATTCGGACTGCCATTTCTATTCTATCATCTGTTACTCTTCGGATCGCCATTTCTATCCTATCGTCTATTACTATTCGGATCGCTATTTCTATTCTATCCTCTATTAATATTCGAATCATCATTTCTTTTCTATCCTCTATTACTATAGGGACCGCAATTCTCTACTCTATTTACTATACTATTCCTCTATTCGGATTAATATACGGGTTACTTGTCCAGTAACTATTATCGGGCAAGTACTATTCAAGCGAGTGTTATTCGAAGGCGTCGGACACCAGCATTGTTCAACGGCGTTACTATAGTGGTATCTGCGATTACAAAGTCTCTACTACAACGAAAGTGACAACGACTATTCGTTGGTATCACAAAAGTGGCAACAAGGGTTCCTTTGACTTCACAAAAAAAAAACCATATCAATTCGGTATTTAATATCCGTCGAAGTAGACCCCATCGGAAGGCACACACTTTATCCAGCGTAGTTTCAGTTGATGTAAGCATTCTCGGAACTTCATTTTGGGGAATAGTGAGCAGTTGCCTCATCGCATTCTCTTGGATTTCCTCGACGTTTTGAAATGTTTTTTTTTTCCTTTCAAGAGGTATTTGAAAAAGTCGTAAGGGACGAGATCTGATGAATATGGTGCAGTGTCGGACCTGGCGAATGCTGTGTTTGGCCCAAAAGTACTCCATGGTCACTGATAGGACCTCTGTGTTGGGGTGAGACGACCACACACTACACACTTTCCTTCCATGCACTGCTATAAACAACGGAAATCAGAACGCCATCAGTGTGCATGCGCGACAGAGTCTAATGGCAGTATGTACAAAAGGCTACACACCGCGTAGTTTAGTTCCGTTATAATTACAGTACCGATACTTTTTGATCATGCTTCGTACGTTTTTTTTTGTTTTGTTTTTTTGTTTTTTTGTTGTTTTTTTTTGCGGGTGTGTATGAATGGATGCCTTTTGGACTTTTCTTTCTCACGCGTGTGGATATCTGTATGTGTCTATGTGAATCTATTTTTTTTCTCTGAGGGCATGAGGGTTTTCCGCGTGTACATGTTCCTTTTTCGGATCTGTGTATGTATGTGTACGTACGTACGTATTTTTTCGCATGCATATGTCTATGTATGTATGTGCATTTGCACTTTCCGACATGTGTGCACGGGTATGTTGATTTCGGTGCTTGTGAATTTCTATGTGTGTGTAGGGTGTGTGGGTGTTTTCTTTTGGCGCGTGTGTGTGAAGGGTCATGTGTTTCTGGTGTCTTTTTTTTTTCAGCACGTGTGTGTATGTATATGTGTCTGTGAATCTGCGTCATTCTTTCCATGTGTATTCCCCGTGTGTGCATACATCTTTTTTGTCTATGTTTATGTGTGTGTGCGTGTGTGTGTGTGTGTGTGTGTGTATAGTTTTTTTTCGCGCGCGCGCGTGTGTGTGTATGTACACGTGTCTGGATCTGCACCTTTCTGCATATGTGCGTGCGTGCACGAGCGCGTGCGTTTCTTCTTGTGTTGTGTATGTTCCTGTATCCGTACATATACATGTTTTGGAGTATATATATATATATATATCCTCTGTATGAAAGTGTGTATGTGTATGTGTGTACCTGTGTGAAAGAAAATGCCTGTATATGTATATTTACCGGACCTCCTCACCAAATGTCGGGAGCGCGATACGTATATATATATGCATATGAGCCAAGGACAAAAATTGTTTTGTTTTTTTTTTTGTTTTTTTGCCCAACACCTGCACCCACTGTTGCTCTGGCATTCGTATTACACCGACCCAACCCCTTTCGTGCAATGAGGAAGGTTCTGCTGCATAGTTGGAATCCCCGGGGATGAGCAACTTCTCATATCTAAAATGTGGAGAAAGTTTATCAGCCCTGTATAAGTAATATATTCTTACAAAAAATGACTAAAATATATATGTATTTTGGTAAAAGTTTCTCTTGTTTATATATTTTATAAAAGCCAACAAAAAATGTTTGTTTAAGATTATAAATAGATTTTAACGATATTCTTTCTCTAACCGTTTTATTTATTTATGTATTTTAGCCTTTTGGACCAAATTCAAAATTAAACATGGCAATACAAAAAGAAAAATGACTCTAATAAACATTTAAGAGATACTTGAAAAAAATTACAAAATATGATACAACTTCAATTGTTGACCAAAAACTTACATAAATTAAAAACAATATTATACTTTAATTAAAAAAAAGCAAACAACCTGCTAAAATATTCAGCATAAGAACCAGTATTGTAAACATTTTTAATAACAGTCAGTTATGTACCATGTGTGATACACGCGTAGGCGATCATGTATCTTTCGATACATGACTGACGAGGCAGATTTTTTCCACAGTAGGTTGCCAATTCTTTCTGCGATAGACCAGTTGCCATCAAAGGGTATAGAACCCGGTCTGTCCTGCTATTTACCCATATGGTGCTTGATTAAATGTACAGTCAGTCAGTTATGTACCATGCATGATACACGCGTAAGCGATCATGTATCTTTTGATACATGACTAACGAGGCAGATTTTTTCCACAGTAGGTTGCCATTTCTTTCTGCGATAGACCAGTTGCCATCAAAGGGTATAGAACCCGGTCTGTCCTGCTATTTACCCATATGGTGCTTGATTAAATGTACAGTCAGTCAGTTATGTACCATGCATGATACACGCGTAGGCGATCATGTACCTTTCGATACATGACTAACGAACCAGATTTTTTCCCGCAGTAGGTTGCCATTTCTTTCAGCGGTAGACCAGTTGCTATCCGAGGCTAGAGAACTCGACCTGCTATTTACCCATAGCTGGGGAGGAGGAGGAGAAGAGGATTCATACCTTTCCGAAGGGTATTAGCACGTAAGTAAATGTAATGGATTCGACTGGAATTCGAACTCGGCTCTCCGATTCCTTCATTGTGCCTTCGGTATATCCGAGCCACTATCCGTTAATCCACCTTGCGAGCCGGAAAGTCCTAAATGCTTGTCAACCAAAAGAGCAGCTCAAGATGCGAGCTACGAATTGAAAGCACCAAAATCAAGCACGTACGAATATTTAAATATCTTGGAAGTGTTTATCAGGGAACAGAAAAAATGGCACCGAAATTCAAAGGCGCATTGGAATAACAAAAGAGGCTAATCAAAGTATTAAGAAACAGTAGAATTTCGTTAAAAACAAATAAAATAGTGCTTAGCTGTTATGTAATATCGGTTCTCCTATACAGTAGTAAAAAACTGACATTCTTCTCACCGATGAAGAAGAAATTTGAGAAACTTGACTCCACAGAAGGAAGCTGAGAATACCATAGACTGAACTAGTGAGTGACGTCAAAATTTTAAGAAAAGTGGAAACAAATATGACCAATCAGAAAGAGACAGTTGAAATTTATACGGTACAAAAGAGAGTCTGGAAAATTTAACACTCACAGGGCATATTGAAGGAAATCAGTGAATAACCTACTTAAAAAGCTTGTGTAAATAGATGATAGAATAAGGATTAGGAATGATATCAAAATAATAATAGTAATAATAATAATAATTCAAATGTAATGAAAAATCATTACATGGTTGAAACTACCAAAAAGAGATGCCGGGGAAAGCGATGACAAGCTCATGGTGAAAACGACTTTGCTCCCTGAAAATAGATAAAGTGGTTCACTCGACATTCCAGATCCTAATTCACTGACCACCAACAGATTAAAATGCTTTATATTTAACAAGTCTTTTATGGTACTTTGCATCAAGCCAACATTTGGCAAACATCGATAATCACATCCTCTACGCTCATCCATTCACCCCTAACACATTCATTGGCTCCCTGGGAAATTAGCAGTTAAACAAAAACACGTCAACTCTCCATAAATAGTCTCATTATTTTCGCATGATTACCGGCTGCGAAAGGTTATTCGAGAGACCTGAAAATATCCACTGACATCTGCTGGTTACCATAATTTACGTATTCTCTGCTGAACAGAATGTGTTGTTCTAAAAATGTAAACTGAGACCGCCATTTTGTTTTTTCTTTCCAATTTTGGCGGTAAGACTAAACCACTGTACGATATATTTCTCAGTATATGTGTGAATTTAATTCGATATTAATTCCTGTACAAATATTTTTGCGTAGAATTATAGGCAAAAAGAACCTCCCCGATTTAAGATCACGTAAATCGTAAAATCAATTCGCCTTAAAACACTGTGAAACGAAAAACAAATGTTGATGTTAACGCGACGTTTCCCTCCAATTTTGAGCGATTTCCAGTAGATTATATTTTGCTTTCAATCTATTTACTGTTTTCTAGTTTAATTCTTTTCGTTCTTGCTTGTTTTCTTCCTTCATTATCTTTTGCGTTGTGTTTACTCAGGTTTTGCGCCAATTTTGAAATCGAGAATAATAATGAAAGAAAACATCCTCACGCTGAACATTTGAAAATAGACGGTAGAAAATTTTCAGTCATGAATTTCGCTGTGGCGCGAGGATATCAGACATCCATAGATACAATGACGTCAAAGACGATCGGAGTCGGTAACAAAAATTCTGAAGCCTTTCAAAGTTGATCCATCCATTATCTGATCTGATATATGAAAGAAAGATGATTAAACACGCATGTGTGGCCTCTTTACAGTGTCACCTTCAAAATGGTGACTTCAAGCATGTAACGATAACATTGCTTCAAAATTATCTGTTATGGTGAATGTGACTTGCAATACAAGAGAAACATAAAAAAGCGACCCATTTATCGATAGAAAATCGAAATATCGACAGACTGCGTCTTCACTGTCGATAATTCTTTTTATATATATATATATACAGTGCTGTTCGATAAAAGTGACTCACCTGATTTTTTTTTTTACTAAATGTTCTCTTCTCCGATGAAATGAAAGTTGAGCTAAATTCTAAGGATAAGCGATCTAAAATCCGAAGAAGAAGCTTTGAAAGCTCTTTGAATTTAGCAGTAAGTACTGTCAAGCATCCGTTCAGTATAATGTTCTGAGGATGCTTTTTTTTCATAGAACTGGTTTCTTAAAACCTATTGAAAAGATCCCCAGGAGCAAGCAGTACAAGACAATTTTAGAGTCTTGTCTGCTCCCTTCTGCTGAAAGGGTGCAAATCGACTCCACCAAGCTAATTTTTATGCTAATTTTTATAGAAAACTTATGGAGCATGTTGCGCAACTGCTTTGTCGAGAGCCTGTACTTTATAATGCTCCATTAGTTTTCTATGGGGTTGAGGTCAGGAGATTGAGGCGGCCATGTCATAACACTCACCTGTTTCTCATCAATTTATTCCTTCATCAATTTTGATTTGTGACAGGGAGCATTATCCTGCATAAAAATGAGCTTGGTGGGGTCGATTTGCACCCTTTCAGCAGAAGGGAGCAGACAAGACTCTAAAATTCTCTTGTACTGCTCGCTGCTGAGGATCTTTTCAATAGGTTTTAAGAAACCAGTTCCATGAAAAGAAAAGCATCCCCAGAACATTATACTGAACGGATGCTTGACAGTACTTACTGCTAAATTCAAAGAGCTTTCAAAGCTTCTTCGGATTTTATATCGCTTATCCTTTGAGTTTAGCTCAACTTTCGTTTCATCGGAGAAGAGAACATTTAGTAAAAAAAATCAGGTGAGTCACTTTTATCGAACAGCACTGTATTTACGGTAATGTTCGCCCTGTACGAGTCCCGGAGCCACTAGGTAGAGGGTTACGTTAAGGGGCATTTTATACAGGTAGGAGGGGAAGATAACAGTTACCCTAGACTTAAGATTGTAGTGATTAGGGGAACATCATTTTGGGAGTTGGTTTTTCAGAGCAAGCTGTTCGCTGGAAGAAGCTGTTCGAGCGCATCTTACTTCTTTCCGATGGAATACTGAGGGGATGTGGGGGGGTTTGTAAGTGACACGGTGGGTCCTGGCCTTGAAAGTTAGAGCTGGCAGAACCAAGGAATGTAGTGCGTCCGATCACTTTCCATGGAAGTAGCTATAAAACAGTGAGATGTTCGCCACTTTCCGCCTGTGAGAGAGAAAGAGGTTGGAGGGTGGAACATAATTCGTCACCCACAAGGGCTCGAAGACGCTTTTGGACTCTAACAAGACTGGAAAGTGAGGACTGGACAGCACCCGCCCAAATATATTTCGGCCCGATTTGGCTCTTATAAAGATAGAGGATAACATGAGGAGCCAGGTACTTACTGAAGCGGTACAGGCAGACGATCATTGTCCCAGCATCTTTAGCGATGGATCGTATATAAGAGTTCGGCTTGATGTCAGGTGTGAGTTTCAGGCTGTGAGTTCAAGGCACGGTGCCTCCTCAAGGGGACACCCGTTCAACGTGACTGGCGGTAGTTCAGAGTTCGATCGGCGATTATGGGAAGTAACTAGTTTGATTTTCACCTCGAAAATGCAACCAGTTTTTCCTCACTGAATAGATAGATAGATAGATAGATAGATAGATATTAGAGGAAGAGAGAGAAAAATATTCTTTCAAGGTACGGTGCCTCCTCAAGGGACATCCGTTCAACGTGACTGGCAGTGTTCAGAGTTCAATCCAAAAATAATGACGTAGTAATGTCGTTTTTGATGTATTTTAACCTAAAAAAAACACATTATTACGTCATTAATTTTGCACCAACCTAATAGTTTGATTTTCGAGGTATTGAATGCAACCAGTTTTTCCTCATTGAATAGATAGATAGATAGATAGATAGATAGATAGATAGATAGATATTAGAGGAAGAGAGAAGAATATTCTCTCAAGGCACAGTCCGTTCAACGTGACTGGCGATAGTTCAGAGTCCGATCGGCGATTATGGGAAGTAACTAGTTTGATTTTCGAGGCATTGAATGTAACCAGGCAGTTTTTGCTCCACTAGAAATGCAAGGACGGAAAAGATGTCAACTACCAATTTCTGATCTTCAAAAGTTTAAGAGGTGCACCCTATATCGTCGTATCATCGGCATATTTATATAATAATAATAATAATAATAATAATAAATGAGAAAATAAGTCAAAATTACGAGAATTTAAGTTTTTCTCAGACGAGCAGAACAACGTTCAATAAATAATTATAGTTATAATATTTACTATATCAAGAAAAGTTCAAATGACTTAGCTGATAGACCGAATCAAAACTCAATCCATCGAACATCTGAAGAGCGTTTCAACATAAAACTTTTAAATCGATCTACCAGATAATTTACTAAAATTGTTCTTGATTTATTGAACACACACACATATATATATATATATATATATATATATATATATATATATATATATATATATATATGTGTGTGTGTGTGTGTGTGTGTGTGTGTGTGTGTGTGTGTGTGTGTGTTATTTTGTACGTGCAGTACTTAGTGGAAAGTGCTCAATATCAGTGATAGAGCTAACATATTTATATGAGTTTGTGACCCTGGGTTTCATGCTTTTTTGCAATCATCAGGTAAGCTGGTTTATGCGTACACCTGTCTGTATATGTGCCTATGTGTATGAGAGTGTCATCCTGAAAAAGCACAGAAGTAAATTCTCCTCCCACCACCAAACATAGTCAAACAAGCACAAATAGATCCAATTTCAAAAAATAAACCGGTTTGTCTGATGGTCGCAGATGCGTGAAAGCCAGTATCACAAACTCATATAACCATACAAATGAATATATATATATATATGTGTGTGTGTGTGTGTGTATGTATGTATGTATGTATGTATGTGCGTGTGCGTTTGTTACTTACCACTTCAAGCTGAGTGCGTCGCCATATTCCTTACCAGATAGAAACCGTTATTGCTGTTGCTTCCTAATATTTAACGTGGATCACATTTTTTTGTCTCGCTAATGTAAATTTTGTTGAAATGAAATGATTTTTATCCGATGAAACCGATCCATCGGCGAAACATGTCAAAATAAATGCTTTTCACGTAGCCTTACATATACTACGTCTGATCAAAAAGTATTGGGACTGTTGCTATAAAAGAAAATTTACAACGCATATCAATTCGCCATTTAATCTCCTTCGAAGTAGTCCCCTTCTGAAGTTTCCTAATTTATCCAATATCGTTTCTATTGATGGAATTATTCTTGGAACCCTGTTTTGGGCATAGCAAGCAGATGCCTTGTCACATTCTCTTGGATTTCCTCGACGTCTTGGAATTTTGTTCCTTTCAAGTGGGATTTGATTTTTGGAAAGAGGAAAAAGTCGCAAGGGGCAAGATATTGCGAATACGGTCGTGTGTCGGACGTGGTGAATGTCGTCCTTTGCGAAAAACTCCTGTACAAGCAGTGGTCGCTGATGGGAACTTTGTGGTGTGGTGAGATGACCACAGAGTACATACTTTATTTGCAAACACAGCGATAAACAAGGAAACATAATGAGTATGTGCGACAGTTTTCAATGTCAATCTGTGTCAAACAGCTCCAGGTTGCACACTTTAGCGCCGTTAACATAGTAACTGTCCCAATATATTTTGATAAGAAGTTGTATACAGCTAGATATGAGCAGACTACAATAGATAGATAGATAGATAGATAGATAGATAGATAGATAGATAGATAGATAGATAGATAGATATGAGCATTCTTATATAGATATGGGCATAGATAGATAGATAGATAGATAGATAGATAGATAGATAGATAGATAGATATGAGCATTCTTATATAGATATGGGCAAAGATAGATAGATAGATAGATAGATAGATAGATAGATAGATAGATAGATATGAGCAGACTATTATAGATAGATAGATAGATAGATAGATAGATAGATAGATAGATAGATAGATAGATAGATGAGATATGAACATTCTTATATAGATATGGGCCAAGATAGATAGATAGATAGATAGATAGATAGATAGATAGATAGATAGATGAATATGATATGCAGACTATTATAGATAGATGGATAGATAGATAGATAGATAGATAGATATAGATAGCATTCTTATTATATAGATATGGGCATAGATAGATAGATAGATAGATATAGATAGATAGATCTTATATAGATATGGTCATAGATAGATAGACTATTATGGATAGATAGATAGATAGATAGATAGATGGATAGATGAATATGAGCATTCTTATATAGATATGGGCATAGATAGATAGATAGATAGATAGATAGATAGATAGATAGATATGGATATGAGAGACTATTATAGATAGATAGATAGATAGATAGATAGATAGATGGATAGATAGATATTATATAGATATGATAGATAGATAGATAGATAGATAGATAGATAGATAGATGAGATAGATAGATAGATGATATGAGCATTCTTATATAGATATGGGCAAGATAGATAGATAGATAGATAGATAGATAGATATGGGCATAGATAGATAGATAGATATGATAGATAGATAGATAGATATAGATAGTCTTAGATAGATATGGTCAGATAGATAGATAGATAGATAGATAGATATGATATATAGATGTAGGCATAGATAGATAGATAGATAGATAGATAGATAGATAGATAGATAGATAGATAGATAGATATGAGCATTCTTATATAGATATGGGCATAGATAGATAGATAGATAGATATGGATATGAGCATTCTTATATATATATGGGAAAGATAGATATAGATAGATAGATAGATAGATAGATAGATAGATATTAGATATAGATAGATATAAATTCTTATATATATATGGGATAGATAGATAGATAGATAGATAGATAGATATGAGCATTCTATATAGATATGGGAAAAGATAGATAGATAGATAGATAGATAGATAGATAGATAGATAGATAGATAGATAGATATGAGCATTTTCAGATATAGATATGGGCAAAGATAGATAGATAGATAGATAGATAGATAGATAGATAGATAGATGAGCATTCTTATATATATATGGGAAAAGATAGATAGATAGATAGATAGATAGATAGATAGATAGATAGATAGATAGATATGAGCATTCTTATATAGATATGGGAAAAGATAGATAGATAGATAGATAGATAGATAGATAGATAGATAGATATGAGCATTTTCAGATAGATATGGGCAAAGATAGATAGATAGATAGATAGATAGATAGATAGATATTAGAGGAAGAGAGAGAAGAATAGTCAGAAGCAAAATACTAGTGGGTTTCAAACCAATTATTCATTACATGCGTCAACACATGACTTGTCATGTCATAAGTTTGCCAGAACGGATTCTTACATTTTATTGCGCGTTGATCCATCAAGCAGTGTTGTTTCGTTGTCAGGGGTCATTTGATTGTACCTGCGCGTCAGCAGAGAATCGAATTCTTGAGTGTTTGTTCCTTTTGCTCCATTTGCCAATCAACTTCAGCTGAAATGAACGAAATCTTTCCTGGAACCGCTATTCACTTCAGATTGATTTCTTTGGAACGAAGGGCAGAAGTTGTCTTTGACTCGAGTCGATATGACTATGCGATCGTGATTGGATAACGCTAAACTGTTCTTGTCTTTTTTGTGTAATCACTAGAAAGAGCCGTGTTACACGTGTGCTTAGTCGCCCGATAGCATTTACCTGCAGGTATTCATTTAAAATAGCAAGGCATTTAATTGACGAATAAAATGCCGTAAATTGATCCCAGTCGACACTACAATTTCCGACAACTTCCCCGGTTTTATGTTACTTTTAATATTTTACTTAGGCAGTTTAATTGGTTCGTTCGAATTAAACCTGCCAAAAAAAAAACCGGAGAAACAGTGTTCAGATATTAAGACTTTAAACACGGGCATTTAAAGGCATATATATATATATATATATATATATATATGTGTGTGTGTGTGTGTGTGTGTGTGTGTGTGTGTGTGTGTGTGTGTTATGGTCCGGTTCCTTGTACCACGGTGATAGTCCAAGGTAGAACCAATAAAGAAGAACTCGAAGGTGGATATGGAATAACACAGATATATTACAAACAGGAATATATACAGAGAGGTAGAAAATGTTAGTACGAACAATCAGGTTTGGTATGGAGAACAATGTAGTCTCGACCAGTATCACTATTCCAATGTCTTGTAGTAATTGTCTGAACGCAACTCTGTTTCGGACTGCCTCTGACTCGACTGACTGACTCGCTCTGACTGACTGACAGACTCCTGGCGGACCTCACTCCAGACTTCAGACTGAACTCCCTGCTTCCTCTTGAGGCGCAGTATTTATTACGTATGGAATAGTCCATTATGTTATTATGAGTAAGGTCCCATAATAATATATATATATATATATATATATATATATATATATATATATATATATATAAAAAGACATTTTATGTTTAACGTTCTTTTTATAGATACAAGTATTTAAGTAAATTCTCTGTTTATAATAAACAGTATTAAATAACATTTACCGGTCTGAATGTCCGAGAAATTTTCATATGAAAAAAATATGTCTTTAAAAAAATGTCTTTAATAAATAAATTGTCGGACTTTGTCCATTTCTTAATATATATATATATATTTCCGGAGTTGTTTTTTCTGTTTTCTTTTTGAATTTGAAGGTCTGATGCAATTCATCAGACCTACAAATTCAAAAAGAAAACAGAAAAAGCAACTCCGGAAATAAAAATTAAAATTTAGAGAGAGTGTAACTATGAGAGTGTGGGACTGAAAAATATGAAAATATGAGTCGGAAAACCAAAGATAAAAAATTACACACCGAATCGAAAAATATAATAAAAATTAATTAAAAAAGAGCTAACCGATTAGTGTCCCAAGCTCAAATATATGTGCACAACGATAAAAAGCGCATTCAGATTATCATCTGGGAATTTTTGAGGCCATTTATATTAAGTCTAAAGCGCCTTTCCTCTACAAGAAAAAAGAACTGCTACTTGCTTTATATATAATTCTTCTGTAATTTACGCTGTTGGTTCCCACTTTTTGAGTCAGTATGCACATATTTTGTATCCTCCAGTATCTGAATATTTTTCTGAGATGAGGTATTATTGTTCGGACTATCATCCTCATCTTTGTTGCCATATTTATCACATATTTTCGGCCGTTGTACGCTTCGGACTTCTTCAGAACTGAACCCTTTATTTCGCTCTAGTTCCGCGTGTCATGTGTAATGGATATCAGTTATCAGTTATCTCCTCTTAATTCCTCTCTCCAAGTTCTCCTGGTTTTGAACTCACACTCTTTGTGTCCTGTTACTGGATCTAACCAACGCCTTTATCCACTGTGCCATGTGTCCTTGAGGACATCTGTGTATGAATTTCTGGGTAAAAATGATTGCTGAAGACATTAGGTTTATAAAAACCTAATGTCTTCAGCAATCATTTTTACCAGTGCTTATATTGCAATATTTTTGCTGTTACCGTTACATGTTTTTACCAGAGCTCATATTGCAAACCTTTTGTTTTATATTTTCCTATTGGAAAATGACTTACAACGTAGAAAAAAACACGATTCGTTCTTAAGAACTTCATCAAACCTAAACACTAATGTCCGAAACGCGTTACACAAAAAATTTTCCGCTTTGTCATTAATTTTCCTAACATTGTTTATGATATATAAAATTTACGTATCATCTTTTCCCACAATTTTGTATATACTCTTAAAATGTTCATTTTTAGAGCTTTCGAATTCCAGTCGAATCCATTACATTCACTTACGATCTAATACCCTTGGGAAAGGTATGAATCATATTCTTCTCCCCCCCAGCTATGGGTAAATAGCAGACAGGTCAGGTTCTATAGCCTTAGATTGCAGCTGGTCTACCGCAGAAAGAAATGGCAACCTACTGCGGGGAAAAATTCTGCTCGTCCGTCATGTATCGAAAGATACGTGATCGTCTAAACGTGTATCCCGTATGGCATACAACTGATTGATTCTCCACAGAGTATATTCAAATATACAAATAGTATAGTTCGAGGATCAACGAAAAAGTTCTAAGCCTCACCCAAAAAAGAGAGCCATAGATGAACATTTTTGTTGTGACAGCATATTACCATTTCTCGTAGAACCAGAAAAAAAATCAATTAAGATTTTCGTCTTAATTTCTGAGCAGGTGAGGCCCATACAAAGGTGAGAGGTTTGCGACAAATCTAAAAATGGACAAGAGGCCCGAGCAGTCATAAATATCTGCAAAAGAAAGGTATAGCATCCAAAGAAATTCATGAGGACATGATACAGACATTTGCTGAGGACACCCCCTTCTTATGCAACTGTGAAAAAGTGGTATACGGAATTAAAGCGGGAAAATGCTAGAGACAGAAAACAAACCTCGGCTATGTCGTGCAAGACTACAACCACTCATGAACAGATTGATGCAATTCGCTGTATGGTTTCGGGTGGCAGACGTCTTACTCTCCAGAGGATAGCTAAATCCATAGAAATTAGTTCTGGTTCAGTTCATACTGATTTAACTGAAATCTATGGGACGAAGCAGTTGTCTGCAAGATTGGTTTCTAAGAATGCTGGCACCAGAGCAGGAACAGACAAAGGTTGACATTTCCAGAACATTTCTGACTCGCTTAACAGGCTGACACTGAGAATATTTCCACTGCAGATTAGTAACTCAAGATTGGGTTTCCCAGGTTTCGATTTACTACTTTGAACTTGAATCAAAGATACAAAGCAAACACTGGAAACCCTCTGGTTTTACACTCCCGAAGAAATTCAAACAGGCAGCGTTTTTTTTTTTTTTTTTTTTGGCAAGGTGATGACTTCTATTTTAAGGGTTTCAGAAGGCGTAATCATGATAGACTATCTAGAAAAGGGAAAAACTGTTAATGGACTGTGGAATAATGTATTATTCCATCTACGACATTTTACGCGCGCGCGAGT